TTTTGAGATAAGGTCTTGCTACATTGACTAGATGAGGTTTAAACTCATGATTCTTGTGCCTTAGCCTCCTCAATAGTTGGAGTTCTGTCTGAGGCCAGTAGGCCTGGGGGATTTTTGTTTCTTTTTATGTGATTGTTAAATCCAGGTTATTTCTTTTTCCCTTCCCCTCCTCTCTCCTCCCCAGAATTGAACTTGGGCCCTGAATCAAGGTTATTTCTAACGCTTCATAGTGGTGAAGTACTTTTCATATACTCGCATTCATTATACTGAGCATACGCTGGTCCTTGTGATTTCATAAGTCTTGGTAGGGAACATGAGTTCAGATCAGGGGAAGTATTTTTGGTACTGGGGTTCGAACTCGGGACCTTGCAATTGCGAGAGGCAGGTGGTGGAACTACTGAGCTAAATCCCTAGCCCCAGGGGAAGTATTTTTGAATTATTTCTTCAATAATTTCCTTAGTTCTGTATTCATCATTTGCTTTTTCTGTATGTTTATAAATTTTTTTCGGTTAGATTGGGGATTGAACCTTGGGCCTTTGCAATAAATCAATCTGTGTATGTATCTGTCTATCTATTTATTTGGTACTGGGGATCGAACTCAGGTCTTTGTGCTTATGAGGCAGGCAGCAGAACTGCTGAGCTAAATCACAGGCCCCTTTGCACTAAATTTAATCCCCGGCTTTTTAAATTTTGAGACTAGGGTCTCCCTAATTATTTCCGAGATGGGCTTGAATCTGTGATTCTCTTGTCTCTGCCAGTCAGAGTGTTGAGATTATAGGCATGTACCACCAGTTTATTTTTTTAATTTAGATGTTGGATCCTGTGAATTCACTTAATATGTATGTTGATATATAATTGTGTGTGTGTGTGTGTGTGTGTGTGTAGCATATGTATGTATATACATATATATATATATTTTGTGTGTCTGTGTGTGTGTGTGTGATAGTATTAGGAATTGATCCCAGGGAGTCCTAAGCTATATTTATTCACTGTTCTTTGTTGTAATAGCGTTGTTTTTTGTTTTTGAGACAGGGTCTTACTATGTAATTGGGACTGACCTGGAACTCACTGTGTAGCCCACGCTGGTATCGAACTCAACAGTGATCCTCCTGCCTCAGCCTCCTGAGTGCTAGGATTACAGTTGCTTGCCACCACATCTGGCTTGCAATAGGGTTTTTTTTTGGGGGGGCGGGGGTAACCAGGGATTGAACTCAGGACTGCGCACTTGCCCCGGTCCCCTGCCCCTGCCCCTGTTCTTTTTTTTTTTGGTACCGGAGATTGAACTTGGGCCCTTGCACTTGCGAGGCATGCGCCAGAACCACTGAGTTAAATCCCCAGCTTTCATTCTTTTTCTTCATTGAGTAGATTCCTTACTTTATAATAGTTTTGTTTTGTTTTGTTTTGTTTTTTTTTTTTTTGGAGGCAGGGTCTCCATATGTAGTCTAGTTTAGGCTGGCCTCAAACTCACTATATAGCCCAGACTGGTCTAGAACCCATAACAATACTCTTGCCTTAGCTTCCTCCTGCCCTGACCTCCTGGGTTTGGAGATTATGGGCATGTGTCACCATGCCTGGCACTTTATGATGACAGTTTTTTTTTTTTGTTTTTTTTTTTGGTGGAGAGAAGATCTCATTAGATAGTTCAGGCTGACTTTGAACTTGTGGCAATCCTCCTGTCTCATCCTCCCAAGTGCTAATATTATAGATATGCCTCCACATGTGGCTCTAACAATTTTGAATTCTGTTATATTGTGCAGTTTTGTTTTGTCTCTGCAGTGCTAGAGATTGAAGCTGTGCAAGCTTCTTCCCCTGAGCTGTGCCCCTGGTCTTTCCCCTCTGTCTATCTGTCCATTATCTAGAGATGCCCAGGCTGGCCTGGAGTCTGGGTCCTGCTGTAGCTTGTAGAGTAGCTAACGTCACAGGCATGGGCCACTGCACAGGACTAGTGTTGCTTATTTCTCATTTTCTGTTTTTGTGTCTTGAATGCAATGTCCTTTCTTAGCTCTGAGAATGTTAATGAGGGATTTTGTTTCAGTGCTGAAGTTTTCTTTTGATTTTAGGGTACTTTTCTCTTTGTACTATTTTGGTTGGTGTCTCTCTTGTCTGTCTCTGTTTCTGTCTCTTTGTCTGTGTGAGACAGGGTCTTTCTTGCTCTGCTCCTATCTGGCTTTGAACTCAAAATCCTCCTGTTTCTGCCTTCCCGAGTGCTGGTATTGCAGGCAGGCTTCACTATACCCACTAGTCTTTTTCTTGTTAGAGACTTAGCTTTAAATTTAGTCAGTTATTCAAATTTAATATTTTCAAGACAGGATTATGTCTTTTTTTTTTTTTTTTTTTTTTTTAGTACTGGGGATTGAACTCAGGACCGTGAGCTTTGCCAGGCAGGCACTTTGCTGTGCCACTGAGCTACATCCCTGGCCTGGGGCTATAATTTTTCTGTGTTGCTGCATTTGGCTCTGAAACAATGGTGCTGTGGTGTGACTGTCCCCTTGGGTGGCATGGTACAGTCCCCTCGGGTGCTACCAGCTGTCTAGTGGGACAGTTGTGCATGAAGAACTAGGGGTTCAGGCTGGCGGGAATGTGTTATGACAAGTACCTAGCGAACTGATTTGGGCTCTGTGTATGGGCAGGGATTACTGGCTGATTGGTTTCAGTAAAGGTGATCAAATTGGGTTTTCAGTTTATGCACAGCAAAACAAACCTGGTTACTAGTATTTTTTGAGGTAGGTGGGTGCTAAGATTTGAGTGAATAGGGTTAGACTTTGACTTAATCTTTTTAAATATTCTACTCCTTCTGTGGTCTTAGTGTGCTGAGTCCATATTTCTGTGGTTTTACCCTCTCCAGAAAAGTAACCACTTCAATTTCCTAGGGTAGGTATGAGTCAGTTAAAGTAAAGAGGGTTGGTCTTATTTTTTAAAATTATATCTGATTCCTCTTGTTTTTTGTTTGTTTGTTTTTTTGGTACTGGGGATTGAACTCGGATCCTTGTGCTTGTGAGGCAGGCAGCGGAACCACTGAGCTAATCCCTGGCCCAGATTCCTCCTGATTTTAGCCTTACTTGAAACATAGACCATCACTGTGCGTATTCCCTGCCTCGGGCCTAAAGTTCTTCCAGTGTCCAGTGCTATGAAGTGTAAGATGCATTAGTTTTGGGCTTATGTTATTGATGTCTTTTTTGGTGGTCCCAGTAGTGAACCTATGGCTTCATGTATAGTAGGTTTACCCTCTGCCACTGAGCTAGCCCTTACCCCCATTTTAATTTTTTTGCTGCTGGGGATTGAACTTACCCTATGCTCCCATGAAGTTTACTACTGTTTTTCCGTACTCACCTCCCAAGTTTTTTTATTTTTTGGGGGCCAGGAATCAAACTTGGGTCCTTGGGCTTGCAAGGCAGGCGGCGGAACCACTGAGCTAAATCCCTAGCCCTTCATTTTTTTTTTTGTTTTTGTTGCTACTTAGGGCTGAACCCAGTGCCTTGCTCATGCTGAGCAAGTGCCTTACCATTGAGCTACATCACTACCCTTTATTTCGAGGCAAGGTTTCATTACTTTGCCCAGACTGGCCTCAAACTTGTGATATTCCTGCCTCAGCCTCCCCAGTAAATCCAGGTGTGTACCACCATGCCTACCATTTTTTTTTTTGTTTTTGTTGCTACTTAGGGCTGAACCCAGTGCCTTGCTCATGCTGAGCAAGTGCCTTACCATTGAGCTACATCACTACCCTTTATTTCGAGGCAAGGTTTCATTACTTTGCCCAGACTGGCCTCAAACTTGTGATATTCCTGCCTCAGCCTCCCCAGTAAATCCAGGTGTGTACCACCATGCCTACTGCTTTTTATTCTTATTTTAAAAATCTTTTTCTTTCTTTCTTTCTTTTTTTTTTTTTTTTTTTTTTTTTTTTTTTTTTTTTTTTTTTTTTTTTTTTTTTTTTTTGGTACCGGGCCTTGAACTCAGGTCCTTGCGTTTGCAAGGTAGGCCACCGAACCACTGAGCTAAATCCCTGGCCTCTTTCTTTCTTTCTTTTTTTTTTTTTGAGACAGGGTCTCACTGTGTAGTTGAGACTGACCTGGAACTCGCTATGTAGCCCAGGCTGGTTTCTCACTCACAGCAATCCTCCTGCCTCAGCACTCCCAGAGTGCTGGGATTACAGGCATGCACCACCAAGCCTGGCCTTAAAAATCATTTTATATTTTGGTTTTTGGAGATATAGTCTTGTTATGTAGCCCAGGCTGGCCTTGAACATGAGCTTCCCTGCCTCAGCCTCTAGTACTGGGATTATGTCACTATTGTCATTTGGTACTTCAGGAAGAGAGGTTGTTTTTAAGTGGAATTAATTATCTGTGCTTCTGATGTGCTCTTTTCCTCTTCTTGCAAGGTCTTGTTTTGTCAGTTGCTAGTGATAGCTTCTATCTTCAGTCTTGTCTGTTTTTTTTACTTGATTTTTCCCAGTGGCTCAGAAATGCTTTTGAATACTCCCATGAATTCTTATTTTCCTTTTACACGTGTTCATCCTTTTGTCTTTTCCCTTCAGTAGCAAATTTCCAGGAAAAACAAAAGCATAGTTGATAGCTCCACTTGTCAACTGTGTGCTGCATTCTAGTCTCTTAGGGTCATTGTGCTCGATGATGGAGAGGTGGCTTAGCTGTTTCAGGTGATAGCGCACCAGATCTGCGTGTGCTGTAATGACCACCCTATGTCTCTACCCATTTGGTCTTTTAAAAGACCCATGTACCAGAAGTTCTTTATAATAAGTTAGCACCAGAAAAATTATTTCCCTTAAGGATCTGGTATATTTCCTCTTTTTTGTTAGATATATGAAATACATTTTATTTCCTTTTGCCTTGGCTACCAGGTAGTCCAAAAGCAAATCTGGTCTTTAATTACTTCAGCTGTATGAATCTCATGTTAGTATATTTGTTTCTCTTTCTCCTCCCATTTGGTTTAGGACTTCACCTTTTATCTCTTTCTCTGCGTGTTGATTTCATTCTCTCATACTACAGACTGTCTGCTACATGAGGCTGGAACCATGACTGCTGGCAGCTTCCGGCTCTCATCTTCCCAGCCCCTTCTACCACGAGAAGGGGCTCTCTGGAAGAACCCTGAGAAGGCCTGATTGACCTGTCCTGGATCATGGCTGGAGTGGGGAGGGTACTATGCTGGCAGCCCTCTCTAGACCACGTAGTTGGAGTCAGGGGTAAGAGCAGTTTCCTCATGCGGCGGGGGGGTGGGTGTGTCTGCGTAGAAGGGTGATGCTTATGATGCAGGTGAGCAGCCCATGCCCGCCCCACTGGCTTGTGATACTGAATTTTCTGTTTTTATTGTCAATGTAGGTCTTTTATTGTGGACTTCCTCAAGTCCTTTCCTAATCATTTTAGGCATACTACATAGAATAATATACGTTTCTACTCATTCACCCTTCACATTATTCCATTTGGCTCTTAACTCTACCTCCATATTACTTTTGCTAACTTCAAAAGGCCAAGTTTTTTTTTCCCTTAAATTTTGGTTCTACTTGACTTATTGTGAGCATTAGAAACCATCTGTCAGATCGTCATCATGCCATCTCTTCTACAGCTCTCTTCTCCTGACCTTTGGAAAGCTAAGTTCTTTCCTGTCTTCCCATATTGCCTTTTGGATTGCTTTTTGTCATTGCTCTTTAAAATTTAAGTTCCGCGGCTGGGGATTTAGCTCAGTGGTGCCACCGCCTGCCTCACAAGTACAAGGATCTGAGTTCGATCCCTGGAAACTCCCCCCCTCCCCTGCAAAATTTAAGTTCCAGGGGCTCTTCTGGCCTGTGTATTTGATGTTAATTTATGCCTTTAGGCACTGGTACCATCACTTTAACCCTTTGTTTGAGCGTTCTGACCTAAGTAACCGGTTGTCTGCTGCTTCTCTCTACATAGCCGTCCTACCTATGTATCTTTAAGCCCACAGTTATATGTGATTTCTATGGATTATTACAGTACCTTAAATTACTCAGTTTTATAAAGGTGGTACAATGACATGGTTCAAGAAAAAAAGGTGAAAAGATAGCTAATAGAAGTTCTCTGTCCTAAGGGCTGGGGTTGTAGTTCAGTGGTAGAATGGATGCTTAGCATGCTTAGCTTGCATGAGGCCCTGGGTTCAATTCAACACTCTGCACTGCAGAAGCAACACAAAAATTCTCTTAAACTTACCTGTTTCTCCTTTTGTCAAGTTTTGTCAAGTTTAATTTGCTTCCCAATTCTCCATTGCTGCTAGTTTTTGAATACACTTTGCTAGTTGTTTTATTTTGTGGTATTAGGGATTGAACTCAGGGCTTTCAGACTGAGCTACATCCCATTTCTTCTGTTATTCTTCATTTTGAGACAGGGTCTTGCTAAGTTGCCCAGGCTGGGCTTGAACTTGGAGTTGTTCTGCCTTAGCTTCCCAGAGAGCTGGGGCTACAGGTGTGTGCCATGACGTCCAGCCCCTCATGTCTTTATATATGTACAAGTTTATGTGTAGATAAGCTCCTGTTTTCCTTCCTTTTCTACAAAATGATTGCATATTATATATATTGGAACCCCTTGTCTTCTTTTTACCTCCTTCCTTTTCAGTGCAAATGCCCTGACTGGCTGGGCATGGTGGTGCACTCCTATAATCCCAACACTAAGGAGGTGGAGGCAGGATTGTTGGGAGTTGGAGGCCAGGCTGTATAGTTAGTTTAAGGCCAGTCTAAACTACACGAGAGGGCCAGGGATGTGGCTCAGTGGCGCTGTGCCTGCTTGGCAAGAGCAAGGTCCTGAGTTCGTTTTCCAGTATTGCGGGGGTGGGAACCTACACAACAAGATCCTGTCTCAAAAAAAAAAAAAAAAAAAAAAAAAAAAGCCCCTATCTCTGGGATGATCGAAGCAATAGGACTGCTGGTGCGCCCCGTACCAGCATTGAACCGGGGCCAGGGCCTCGTGGGTGTTAGGCAAACCTCAGTATCAAGCTATGTCCCTAGCTCTTCATTGCTATTTCAGTCCTCAAAACCATCACCTGGTTCCCAGTTTGCTATGGTGTTTCTTACTGCTAGTGCAGGGAAAACATTTTTTTTTCACTGCTGTATTTCCACTAAAATACTATTTTAAAACTTAAACATATGGGGCTGGAGATTTAGCTTAGAGGCTCCTCTGCCTGCCTTTTAAGCACATGGACCCGAGTTTGATTTCTGGCACAAAAAGAAAAAAGAAAACTTAAACATTTAATATAGCTGGGTAAAAAAACAGCCAGATTTGCCTGATGGTGCATCCTCTAATCCCAGCACTGTTGGGAGGCTGAGGCTGGAGAATTTTGAGTTCAAGTTCAGCCTGGGCAATTTGGCAATTCAGTTATTGAGAGAGGTCCTGACTCAAAACTGAAAAAGGGCTGCAGATAATAGTTCAGTGAGAATGCTGTGGGTTTAATCTTCAGTACCAGAAGAAAAATGGCTTTAATTTCAGTAGTGTGTAGCTGTAGACACTGGATAACTTTAGAAAAGAAATTGAAAAGAGTCCAGCAGGCCGAGACAGGAGTGCCTTGAGTCCAAAGCCAGCCTGAAGTAAATAGCAAGACCCTGTCTTGGGGAGAAATGGACTTAACCTGAGATATCGCAGCAGTGTGGCAGGGATGTGAAGACCATGGCCTTTAGAGGTAGATGGAGTGTTAAATGATTGGTCAGCTGTCCTTCTGTCACCTAAGCCTCAGTGAAAAAGGTTAGGTGGAGCAGGAAGTGTCAGGTGCTTGTATAGAGGAGTCTACTGTTAAACTCCTAAATGGCACAGTGAAATACAGGTGCCGTTTGATTGATTGATTGATATTTGAGGTACTAGGCATTGAACGGGGGGCATTCACTCTGAGCCATCCGCCCCTTTGAGATAGGCTCTCATAGTGTAGCCCAGGCTGTCTTCAAACTCTCAGTGATCCTCCTGCCTTATCTTCCAGTGTGCTGTGATTACAGGTGTGCCCCAATATGCCTGGCTCAGAGCTGGTGTGCCTTGAAGCAAACACCCAGGATGTTTTTGTTTTGTTTTAGAGCTAGGGGTTTAATTGAGGGTCTTACTAGTGCTGAGTGGTGTACTGCTGCTGCCAGGCACCCCAGCCCCTCCCAGGAGTGTGAATCCCTGTGTGTGTGTGTGTGTGTGTGTGTGTGCATGCATGCCTGCACGTATGCGTGTCTTCAGCCCCTTGAGAAGGGAGAGTGTATCACTATAAAGATGCCATTCCTCCACGCCTGGCTATTTTTTGAAGATTATTAGTTTCTGCCATTGTATGAATAGTTTAAAAACTGCCTAGTTTCTGGTTTATTCCCTTTACCTGTAAGGTTTGTTTGTTTTTGGTACCGGGCATCGAACTTGGGACCTTGTGCTTGGGAGGCAGGCGGTGGAACCACTGAGGTAAATCCCAAGCTCCTTTACCTGTAAGGTTTGAATGGAGAGATTTAGATGAGGTGTATCTCTGTTGAAAGTTTCATCTTCACATTTTCCAAGTTTGTTTGTTTGTTTTCTTTTTTTTTTGGTACCAGGGTTTGAATCTGGGACCTTGCACTTGTGAGGCTGGTGGTGGCACCACTGAGCTAAATCCTTGGCCCAAAAGTTTCTTTTTTTAAATCTTTTTTTTTGATACAGGGTCTCACTATGTAGTTGAGACTGACCTGGAACTTATTATGTAGCTCAGGCTGTTCTCGAACTCATAGCCATCCTCCTGCTTCAGCCTCTTGAGTACTGGGGATTACAGGCGTGTGCCACCTCGCCGGGCTACTTTTTAAAAAAATCTTTACTTGTTAATATTTATGGATGGTGGATGCTTTCGTAACTGGTAGTTTTGGGAAGTGCTGGGTTTTCTCTCAGATGTACTGCATCCCTAGTCTTTCATGTGTGGACAGTGTATGTCAAGGAGTATTTCTTTTTTCTTTTGTACAAATAATTGTATGTTAATAAGCTATGAAAAGATTAATATTAGTGTTTACTAAAGTTTTTTTGGACTAAACCTTTTTTTTTTTTTTTTTTTTTTTTTTTGGTACTGGGTATCGAATTCGGGATTCTGTGTTTGTGAGGCAGGCTCAGTGCCACGGAGCTAAATACCCACCCTTAAACCTCAGTATTTTAATTTGTTTTGCTTGTATTTGTGTATGTGGAGAAGTTTCTAACTTGAATTGATTCTAGGGTCTTGGGCCTGCTAGGGAAGTAAGTAGCTCTATCACTGAGCTACATCCCTGGTCCTTTTTTTTTTTCTTTTTGGTACCAAGGATTGAACTCAGAACCTCGTGCATGCAAGGTAGGCCGCGGCTCCATTGAACTAAATCTCCAGCCCCGTGGCTCTTTGTATTTATTTTTGTGGGATGAAACCCAGGTCCTTCTCACTGAGCTATATCACCAGGGTCTTGTTATGTTGCTAACTGCAGGCTCTGTTTGAACTTGTAATCCTCTTGCCTCAGACTTCCAAAGTGCTGGGATATGGATGTGAGCCAGTATTCCTAGTTTTTATTTTATTTTGAGACAGCATCATTAAGTTGCTCAGACAGCCTGGAACTTGTGTTTCTCCTGCCCCAGTTTCCCAGTAGCAGGAATTACAAATATTCGCCACTATGCCAGGCAAATTTAATCTCTTAAGTTAATGTGTACTTAGCCTCTTTTGCATGTGTTTCTGAGCATCATTTATTGAATGGTTTTGGTATCCTTTTCAAAAATCATGTGTCTTGGGCTGGGGATTTAGCTCAGTGGTTTTGCCGCCTGCCTAACAATCTCAAGGAGCCGAGTTTGATTTCCAGGACCCCCCCAAATCATGTGTTTATTTCTGGTGTGTGTGTGTGTGTGTGTGTTTATGCCAGCACCACACTGTTTTGATTACTTTTGTGATTTTTTTTTTTCCTTTCTAAAAATTATTTTTTATTTTTTCTTTAATTTGTTATATGTAAGATTTTATATAGTCATTGTGTGTTATTTATTATTTTTTTCATTAGGTTTATTGGTACATTTAAGGTAAACAAAACAGTTACATTCATCATTGGAATCTTGTACCTCTGTGTGATGTATCTTGGTTCTTATTTTTTTCCCATTCCCTTACCCTCATTTTACCTCTTGTAAATATTATTATTATTATTATTGTTACTAATTTTGGTACTGGGGATCGAACTCGGGTCCTTGCGTCCTTGCAATTATTTTTTGAGATGTGATCTCACTACATAGCTCAGGTGGGTTTTGAACTCACTAT